AATCTTGTATTCAGTCTTTTTTTACATTGTTTTATTTGTATTTCTAGAGACAAAAGAACAAAGTAAACAAGTGGTGCTCCTTACATGTTCACTCTGTGCTACAAGAGGAATGACCTTATAGGTGTAACAGGGAGTTGAAAGTAATTCTGTTTTTTTTCATGCTGCTGTTAAAGTTGCTGTGTGATTTTGAGATTGTTTCCATTTTTCTGTGTAGTTTGTTGCCCCTGTGAGATGGGAATAATACTTGCTTAATACTCAGGGGGGTATTACTGGTTTAATTGGTAGTGGTAAATGCACCACCATCTTTAAGAGACTGTTATCTTTATGTGTGGACTTCAGCCAATTTAATTGTGTAGAGAAAGAATTAAACGCTATTTTGGAGATTTAAAGGCTTTCACTGGGAATAGGTAGCTTTAGGAAAAAAATATACCTTTGTGAACAGCTTCATTGCTCATCAGTTCCCTATGTGGTGGAATTAAAAGTGCTCAATGGAACCAGCGCGTTCAGCCCCAGACGATTGTGTGAGGGAGTATGCTGGGAGAGCAACAGCAAACAGTCTTTGTTCATGTCTGGCACTGGCCGTGAGTTTTCTCCTTTCTTTTCCATTCTACCTGCTGTTCCACACCAGGGAACCAGACTAAAAAAATCTAGCTTAAAACCTCCCTCGAAAACCCAAACCAATAAAAAACCCCAACAACTCTCTCCAGAGGTGCTGCTGCCAGCACTAGAAAGAGGATCAGGGGGCAGGAATTTTAGCCAGAGGAGAAAGCTGCCTTTTAGTGGCAGCTCACTTTTAAATTTACTTAATGTGGTCATAAAACCTCAGGCTAGAACTCTTCGTGTAGATTAATGTGTCTTAATTGTAGTACATTCAGTATTTACTGTCAGTAGAGAAACACTTTACTGTAACCCTAGTGAGTGCCAGTGATGACTTTCTGGAGCAGTATTGGCAAAAATATTCTATAATGGGAAGAAGTATCAGGTTACGGTCATGTAGTAGGATGAAACAGGACAAAAATTTGAACTTTGGATCAAGCATTTTTTAATTAAAATAGTTATTAAGATAGATCTAAAATATTAAGCAAGGAATTGAAATCTGAGGGCAAGTTACTGCAAAAATAGTGACAATGAAGCTTTTTGCTAACATTGGTTTTAATTTTATGTAACTTCAGGCTGTTTAGTGTGAGACTTTAAAAACCAAGCCTTTTCAAATAAAACATTACACTGTTTGCACTCCCACTATATATATATTTTTTGTTATTGTTAATTAGAAGTTAGTCTTTAAAACTTTACATTTCTGTTAACATTTTCCTTAGGAACAATCAATAATACTAATATGTCTTAACTAAAAGCAAAAAGTGGATTATTTTTAACACTACCAATGTACGTAAGGTAGACAGACTTTAAATTCTCTCTCCATTCTCTCTATATTTGTCCTTATGAAAAGACTTTTTAACTGCTACTGAGCATCTTAACTTTTTCATGTCCTTGTTTTCATAGTATATGAGTCTGCATTATTTTTATAGCTTGGCTAGTTATCTTTTTTCTAATTCTGAATGCAGATGTTCTGGATAGGAAAAGAATAAACTAATTTGGAGGAGAAGGACTAAATTGTCCTGGGGGATTTAAAAAGAGAGATTGGGCAGAATACAGCATATTTTATAGCCTGAAGAAACTATAGGAAAAGAATAAACTAATTTGGAGGGGAAGGACTAAATTGTGCTGGGGGATTTAAAAAGGGAGATTGGGCAGAGTACAGCAGATTTTATAGCCTGAAGAAACCCTTTTCAGTGGGTGCAGCCTCAGGCAAAAGGTGTTCAGCATGGCAGCCTCTGCCAGCCATGTGCCTGATTTTGTTTCCTTTCTTCACCTACGTCTTTTATAAACAATGATAGTTGTATTTCAGTTTCAAAATTTGTGAATTAATGTGATATTTTTTTCTTGCATTGGATTTTAACTTGCATTGACTTCACATAGCTTCAAGATAACAAGCTTTGCCTGAAGATATGAGAACTGCTTTCAGTGTGCTGAGGAATCCTTGGCAAGGGCTGCGGTTCCTTTTTGAAGTCTTTAAAAGGAAGCAGTATCTGTGGCATGGACCAGGTGAAACTATGTCGTTGGCGTTGTGTTAGAAAGAGGGATGTTTTGTGGACCAGTGAGAACCAGAGTGGTTCTCTGGTATGTGGTAAGATCTCAGGAACACATCCAAATCCTTAAAACTCCCAGGTTGTTTGCCACAGCCAGTCACTGTGAAAATTCGGTCTTGAAGCTTGTTTTTGGAGGTAGCTCCTAGTACTCACCTCTAGTCAGAAAAATCTCTTTTGAGGAAAACAGAGTAACAAATTTTCCTGGAGACTCCTGCATGACCTTATACCTTTCTCTTAATATCCTGTTATTTTCTGGAAGTGCAAATGCCTACTTAGACCTTCAGGTGACACTGAAGGGTTAAGTTTTTCACTGGTGCCATGAGCTGTGTAGGAAAACTAGATGATTAAATAATCTAGTTATAAAATTGCTTTGTATTAAAAAAAAAAATCTAAGTTTTGGAACTGTTTTCTAAATCTGTTGAATCTAGTACACTTCATATATTGTTAACCCAAATTAGTGCATATTTCCTTTATGAAAGACCAAAGTAAAACACTGAAGAGTTGCAGACAGACCATACTGTACTTATAAAGGAAATTATAAACTGTGAGATGAGTAAGAAAATAA